AAATCTTTTATTTGATAATTAGCTTTTACTATTTTTTTTTTGAAAATTTTGCTTTGCAGTATATGATTTTTTTATTTTTTCCCACTTTTTCGTTTCATAATTATTCATATTAATACTTAAATATTTCATAAATGGTTACTATTAGTTTAATACTTCGTTTAATTACGGCTTTAAAATATGATTTAATTTTAAATGCCATGTAGTACGTATGTACGCAATTTAATAAATGTAACGTTTGTTATTGCACATGACAGAATTACTGAGATATGGCAAAGCACACAAAGGCTATATATTTAATAGTCTGAAAATACATATCAACCGTTAGCAATTTTAAAATAAATAAATGATGCACTCTTCAATACAATTTTATTAAAGATTTTTGCTTATTCAGCTTGAAAGAAATAAAGACAACACATATAAATTAAGATATTAAAAAATTTATTTACACAAAATTTCATACTAAGATACACAATTATCAAATCACTATGACATAATATATAACAAGCAAATGTATGATTTTTCATACAATCGCTGATAAAATCTTTTTCCCTCTTTTGTTTCAAATAAGTTTTCTCTGAGCTAACTTTTAAAGATATATCAATTAACACAGTATAACAATAATTAGATGACATTATTTTCGTGTTTTTTAAGAATAATACATTTTAAAATTTTATTGTAATTTATGTGTTTTATTAGAAATTCTTTTTTCTACTATTTAAACAAAAATTTGGTAAAATATTCATAAATTTTTGTTTTAGAGATATATAAAATTTTAGATTTATCATACAGAAAAAAATAGCAAAGACAAAAAAAGGAGAGAAAAACCATTAAAGCTATGCTAAGAATGTATACTAACATATATTCTTAGCATAGCTTTAATGGCAGAAACTACAACAATAATATATCTTTTAGAAATCAAATTATTCTGAAATTTAAATACTTAGATCTCACACATGTCATATTTCTGTAAATTAGTAATTTTCATAAAATAATAAACTCTGTAATACCCAATGTTTAGGAGCACATATTAGAGATTAAGAGATAATAGTTAAAAAATAACTTCTATATAATAACAAACAATCTATGTTAGTTCTTTAAGAAACATTCAATATCTGACTGAAAATTTTAGATTCAGTCAATATTGTTTTGGAAACAATCTGAATTTGTCACTTATGGCTACTAAAACAGTTTTGAGAGAATGTGAAAATTTTTGGGATTATTTTCCATATTAAATTCATTGTTTGCTTTCCCCCCAAAAAAGGAGGGGGTGGCAAATTTGAAAAGAAAATATATTTTACAAAAAGAAAAGCAAACTAAATCATCCAATGATAATAAAGCACATTAATTCAATGCTTACAGCAATGCTGCAAATTTTCACATAAATGTCAATAAATATATTTTAATTAACGTGTGCTGAATGCAGGAATCTTAAAACGCACAATTGTAAGAGTATATGAGAAAAATCATCAACTGAGGGGTCTGAGCAGTATAATGCATTTCCATTCATCACAAATAAATCACTACAAAAACTAATATATCTACCATGGAATATATTTTGTATTAAATAATTTCATAACTTAGTAAAAGAAGAAATTGGTTATTATAAAATCTCAAATAATGGAATCTTTTTGATTTAGAATGAGATACTGTAGCAATAAATTTTATTATGCACTTCACAAAGTATTTCATATTGAAAGGAAAAGAAGTAAGATATGTGATAAGATTATTCTTTGTTTACCAATCCTAAAATGTAACTTAAAAACTATCTGAAAACCTCTGCACATTTTTATATTAGTTCAAAGACTTTCCTGTTCATCATGCTTTAGAATTTTGAGAAATACTGCTTAAGATAATTAACTTTATAAGGTAATAAGCAAATGGTTATTTATATTTATTCAGTGAACGCAGTTTTAAAAGAACTTTTGTTGTAACAATAATTAAAATACTACATTTTCAAAGAAGACATACAAATATTACTTTCAAATCACTGCATAGTAGGTGCCACTTAATGTGATCATGTTTTTTCATATTTTCATAATATTAGCAGAATAATAACATTAATTTTAAAAAAGCACTTCAGAATGAAAATGGAATTTAACTAATTTTTAATTAAAAAATATCAAGAACACAAGTATTTTCACAGCATTTTAATTAGAAAATGCAAATATGTTTGTGAACTGCTCATAATGTTCCTGGATATTATTTTACTGCTTCTGTACACGTAATCTTAAAATTAAAAATGCATCTTTGTTTGAAGACTGCCAGTGTAAAATTAAGCAAAAATGCAACCATTATTTGCCATCAGTGTTTTCAGGATTTTTTTTTGGGGGGGGGGAGGGGCTTCTGAAAAAGAAAGGACTTATGTGTGATTGTTCTTAAAATCAATAGAGTTCCTCATAGGATACGTCAAACTAAAGTTGTTTTTTTAAACCTGATTTTAAATAAATGACTAAAGTTGAAATCAAGGTGTTTGGAAACCTAATCTCACACTTCGCAACATTTCCGTGTCACCTGACAATTTTTTAAAATCTATTTTAATCTAATTTGGCAATGTTTAAATTTTAAAAATCCATTCTGTATGAATCTGGACATATTAACTAAATTGTTGATCAAAATAAACAATATTAACTGAATTGTTGATCACGATAAACAAAGTATTTTCCAAGTTTTCATATACAAATGAGTGAGGACTTCACCACATCGATGACAATATCCAATTAATAACATTAACCATGACCACAATAAGCAGCGTCTACTGTATTCTTTTAAGTTACATAATGCACTTTTTTATCTCTCTATACTTTGTATATAGCTATAAATTACATGTCTAAATACGTTGAAAAAAAAACTTGAGAAGAAAATACAGAGCAGGATGCAATGTTAGCAAATACAGCATTCAGAATTTTTTTCACATGTAAATTAAAAAAAAAAAAATAAACATTGTTATTGTCAAAATTTATTAGCATAAATAACACAGCTCAATGCATAGTGGAACCTCAGGTTACAAATATGTTTCACGATGAACAAATTTCCTAACCAGAAAAAAAGAACTGTCTCGAAAGACAAACATACAAGCTATCAATAAATGAATTTCCTACATGTTTTGAGGTCACTTCTAACAAAAATGAGCAGTTTTAATATTCTCTATTATTCAATTTTCATGGACAAAGCCTTGTAATACATAACTAATGAAACAATGAATTCAATCTAGAAGAAATTATTATCAGAGATTTTGAAAGAAGTTGACAGTTAAGGATTTTTCTGTTTCTATATAATGCCTAAATCCTTTGACGCGCGGTGGTCGTGCCCTGAAACCACCAATTTTGGAATTTTTTTTTTCTTCTTTCCGAAATTTTTGAATGAAAATTGATTTATTACTGATCTTTTACCAGAGAGTTTTCTCTGACCTCAACACACTTGCTCCCCAAGCTAGTATTGTGATTTTAAAATTATTTCCTGTGGTTTAAATTTAATGTAAATATACTTTGCTATAATAAAAATTGAAATCGCTTTAAAGTTTTATTTAAATTAAAAATATTTTCTGAATATTTGGGAGCCAGAACTGTTTGTGAAGTGCCAGAAACTTTTTGTTCTGCCAAAGGACTTGAATTTTGATTATCATCGATACTGATTGCATGCTGCTGCAATTTCGGAGCACAACTTCATAGACAAGCTGATGAACATTTACAAACTCTGTCGTTTCTGGACAGGCTCATCAGCTAGGAAGGAAAAAAGAAAATTTATATATATATAACACGACTAATGCATAATAATTCATAATATAATCATTATCAAATTAATTATTTTATGAATATTTCATCTCTAAACAAATAAATATTTAACTAACCTTTAACACGGTTTGACATTTAGTTTTAAGAAAAGAAGTTAAGTTTTGGTTAATCTTCGGATTATGGTAACTTGGCGATTTTTTGGCGACCAACCCTGCTAGTTAGTTGTTTTTTTTATTTTTTTTTTGGACGCCATTTTGTTTTGACAAAGTAAAGGCATGTTTTTTTTTTTTTTTTTTTTTTTTTTTTTACTCAACATTTTTTTCCAACAATTTGCTAACCGAATTACGCTTATGCTAGAACTTTTATGGAACAAAAGTGCTTAATCATCACGAAGATTAGGTGCGAAATTGGGGAGAAAGTGCAGAATCGCCCACTGCTTGCAGCGTTAAGAATTGCACATACACGGTATCATCCATGTATACGTCGATCTATTTTGACTTAAAAAAACATCACAGAATTGCACAAAAATGGCATTGCATACACTCTTGACTTTATCCATTTACACTGCTAAAGTCCTAGCTAGTAAACTTTATCGCCTTACCAAAATGTCGCCAAACTACCAGTTACCATATTCCAAAGATTAGCCGAAGTTTTAATTTTATTTTTAATTATCGTTAATTTTATTTATCCTGAGTTTGTAAATCTGATTCAAAGCCTAAAATTATACTTTGCGTAAATATATTCTGCTACATCATATTCTAAGAACATTTCTGCTATATCCATAAAGGATTTACTAAGGAAAAATTTAATGGATTTTAAAAAAGGGTTACTTTACATTCTCTCATACCAAAATTGACTATGTAAGAACAGCAGAAGAGTCCTTTCATAATAAATAAGTTATATTATTTATGTAAACAAATGAAATTTCTGTGGGAGATTAAACTAAATTATCCTTCAGAAAAAGATTTATCACTCTTTTTAAAGACAGCAGACTACTCTCTTTCTAAGATAACATAGTAAGTTGTTGATCAGTACAATATATAAGAGGTTAAATTTTTAAAAATTTTTGAAATATATAAACTTGAAATTAATGCATACCTGTTTCACCAAATTTTGTTGGTTTAGCACTCGAATGCAAAAAAAATGCTTCTTAGTTGTGGAATATGCATTGTCTTCAAAATGTGCGGAACAAAGACGACTTCGATATAAAAGAGAAGGTGGCTTCTTTAATATTTCCTTGTCACGTCCAATCAAGTAAATTCTACATGGCTTCAAGCCATTGTGCTGATCTATAAAAGTTAAAACACAACATGAAATTTACACCTACTTTACACAGGGAACACTAGTTTAAGCATTCATTTAAAATGTAACTTATTACTGTGCCAAAACAAATACATATTTAGTTTTTCCAGAAATTTGACATGTAGATAACATTTAAGTACTAATTTATGTACAAAAAATTAATATTTATGCATTTTACTCAAAACTAATGTTAAATTTTTAAGCATTCTGCTTATGAAAAAATTCATTTTAGCTGATGCATATATTCAACTAATGCTTCTACGATTTTGTAATATTTACATAAATATTTTATTACTATTGTATATATAATTAGGCTAAACAGATAAGGCAACATTGAATATCACACAAAGTATGTTAATGAATATAACGTTTTCATTTGAAAAGGAATAATTTTTTTTTAAATAACAGAAAGTTAAAAAAATTTCTCATCTGTCATACTGTACTTATTTTCATGCATTTTAAATACTTATAACTTAAAATAAAAAAATTAAAATTTTACCTCTCTGGATTTTTAGGAAACCGAAAGAATTTTCTTTCAGGAAAATACCAAGAATTGGCATTACACACCACACAACGCACATAAGCCTTTGGTGAAGGATCATTTAACCTAAATGAATTATTATTAAAGATTTAAATCACATCAGTACAGAATATATAAAAATTGAATATAAAAAATAAAATATGGATATTTAATAATTAATTTACAGAATACATTTAAGTTGCAAGGTTGAAATAAAATAAAAGAGCCAATGAATATCATGACACCAGAATTATGCAGCTAATTTACTTTAATAATTTTATTTTTAAAACTGGAAAAATTATTAAAAAATTAATTTAAAAAAAAATAATAATTAAAAATTGGGATAATATTGCAGTTCTTAGTAGCAAAAAAATGATATCTGTGAATAGTTTATTATAAAGATTCTTTGATTATAAATAATGCTCAATGTATAGAATTAGAAAATATCATGAACTAAAAATTGATAACCTGGTTAAACGAAAATAGAAGAAGTTGCAATATACATTACATATAACTGCAGGAAAGATCGGATATGAAGAACTGAAATAATTTTCATTAGCAATCATAGTAAATCATCCATGATTGCTTGATTTTATCCTCGCAATTATATACAAATATACTAATTTTGCGTAAGAAGAAGCTTTGATAGAGATTTTTCAAAATACTTCTGATTTCTTTAACAGTATGAATTATAATTTTTCAATAAAATGTTCCAATGAAACTTAACTTTTAACTTTTTAATGACAACTTAATTAATAATCGTTCATTACATATGATATTTGATTACCATCCCATGTTATGAAATGGATTTGAACATAACTCTGGTAATTTAAAGATAATTCTAATATGAAAAGCTATAATAATTCAATATTTTTACGTACCTTTCACACGCAGGATCACTAGAGCGTGATTCATTATTTTTTTCCATTTCCAAATGTTCAAAATTGCTGAAATCCTCGTGCTTAGCGTTCAAGTATGGCGCGCTATGACGACTTCTACCGATGTTGTTGCCAAACCTCTCTGGCTCTAGCGCGCATGCGTGAATGTGAATTTCAGAGAACCTGAATTTACGCCTGTAAAGTTGTCAAAAAAGACACATTTTAGACTCAGTTTTTCTTCGTGGCGTTGCTGTGCAGTCGAAGCTTGACTTCTTCTCACTATAGATTCTTTGGTACAAGGAACTAAAGGGGGAATAAATCGGTCTGTCCAATTTTGCAGGTTGGTATTACCCGTACTATAGAACAAAGAATACCAAATATGCTGAGAAAATAAGAATATTACGAACTACTAATATTCCGTTTTCTTCGCACTTTTAATTGTGGCTTTATTCCTGTTTCAGTAACTGCAATAGCTCACATTCGTTTTGTTTGTGTTTTTCAATTTTATCTGCAGCATTCGCTTCAACTAATTTTTACATGTAATAATGTTCCAATTTATCCAAATCTCAGCAATAATTGCTTTTAGTAGACCTTTCGAGGAAATACCATATTTCATTATTCTTGTCTCCGACTCACTCCATTCATTTTCGATAGGATTTAAGTCTGGACAACGTGGAGGAATTTTGATCAATTCAGGACAGCTATATAATAACCACAAGCGAACAGTTAGCCCTGTACATTTAGGATCGTTATTCTCATAGAACTTTTCATTTGCTTTCGGGTTTATGTTAAGAATATTTATATATTAGCTCTGAGGCGCATTATTTTCTGTAAGAACTAAATTTCCCATTATTAGTATCCCGTATTAGAGGCAGCGAAATCTATCCAATTTTCCATTCGGCTTTCGCCACTTAGTAATTCGTCGATCAGACACTAAAATATTAAATTTTCACTTGTCTTCAAACAACATTGTTCCAATACGATATATCTTTGCTTATCAATGGTAAGCGTATTTTCATTGTATTCTTGTTGACAATGTATTTCCTTCTTGTTGATCGCCTATTTTATCCTTGTGCCCTTATGATTCTTCTAATACTTTCAGGATTAACTTTGATTGCAAACCGTTCTTCTAAATCTGCTGCAAGTTTTACGGGACTAATTTATGAGTTTTGTTTGATTTGTTTGTTTTCCAGATTAAATCTCCGATTCCTTAATAGAACCTTGAAATCTGGTCTAGACTTCAGTACATTTTCAACAGATCTACACAATTTCCACCGTTTATAATATCAAAGACTGTTGAATGTATTACTCAGAACTTTTCGGATATCCTGAATATTTTATCTTCTTTAAAATGGTGAATAATTAAAATTTTAACAGAATTTGGCGTTCGTTTGTTGCCTCTTGCCATATTTATTTCAGCTGTGGAAATGTCAATATATTTTGCTAAACAAGTAATAATATCCAAATGCAGACGATTACGCATACACTTGTTATGTATTTGGATTTAAAAAATTATGACAAGAAATATCCTTTTCCAAAACATATCAGTAAAACTTTCGAGTGTCCGAATTATCATGCGAGTTACTGATTAGCACGTGTTGAATAAATTTAAACAGAATACATTGATGATATTGATTTTGCATTAAACAAGAGAAAAAGTAATTTATAAGAAAGAAATCTTAAGTCTATGTTTCAATATTTAGTAAAAGATCTCCTCAAATAAATTTCAAAATTGCATGTGTTACGAAACAAATGTAAGCCATTGTAAATAGTTTTCGGTTATAGATAAAAGTCGAATTAATATACTACGTAAGATAAAGAAGAAGTGTGTTTTAAATTACCAAAGTAATTATTTTGAAAAAAAGTAAATTAATAATGCTAAAAGAGAATTTATTACTTGATTTAAACATTTAAAAAAGGGAAGAATGGAGGAACAAATTTCTGCTGAGACCAATTAACCACCTGAGCTTTATGAACAACTGTCATTTAGAATTCTAATATATATATATATATATATACTAGGTTTTCTAGCCACTCGTGCAGTGACAGATTCCAAAGTATTTCGTTCACAAGTAGATGCCATGAAATATTTGCGCATGTGTTCTGCGTGGTCCGATCCCCCAAAACAGTCATGTTTTAATTTTGTCTTTGATTCGTATGCCTCAATTTCTTTTCTGGAATTCTTCCATTTGAACGCGTCACCAACGTATACTTCAGGTGCCTTGTGACCTCCAGAGTAATCTTTTGGTATTTTTTTACCTCTTGTTTTAGATGTAAACTTTGCCAAGTCTGTGCTGAATAGCTTCAAATTCCACCTTTTTATGTGTATGAGAGAGACCGCTGTAACAATTTGGCTTTTGTGTTCTTAGTTCTAGAAGTATTAACGGATAATTATGTTGTTTGGTTAGACCTAGCTGCTCTAACAGTGGCAGAAAATGTATTCTAACAACTTTTGTTTCTAATTAAATGAAGTGTAACTGAAATTTGACGAAACAAATATTTTGCACTAATTCAATGTAATAAATGATAAAAATTAGCCGGATGATTTGTAACAACTTATAGCTACTTATTCATGCAAATAGTCAGCAAGAAGAAGTATTGAAATACTATTTTACCACGCAAAAGTTTATCAGAAACTTAAAAATCCAGATTTAATATTTTGTAAGAAGACTATTATTTCTTATAACAGTTTATACATTTACGCTTCGATTTAACCAATACATTTTATTAGATCAGTTGAGAAAATTTTTCATTACCTTCCAAAATATTTATAAGATCAATTTCATAAAAAAAATCTATTGATTTTTAAAGTTACACTTTAGTTACCCTTGAACTAAACTGCGTAATTTTACCAGACTGTCAAATCGTCACAACGCAGAATATTACAAACCAAATGATGACAATAAACGTGTAAAAATAACTCAACTATTTTTTGTTACTTTAAGTTGAAATTTGCAAATAGAGATGTAGAGTCATTAGACTATTTTGAAGCAGGAGATGGGAAAAATGTGTAACGCCCTTGCCGGGACTCGAACCTGGAGCTCTCTAATACGCGCCGAGTGTGCTACCATTACACCACAAAGACCTGCTCGAAGGAAGAAGAAGGGATAAAATACAAGTGGGGCACCACTTGTAGAGTCATTATGTTTCATTGAAGCAGAGACGGGAAAAATGTGCAATCCCCTCGTCAGGACTCGAACTTCGGACCTCTCGAATACGCGTTTGGAGTGTGCTACCATTACACCACGAAGGCATGCTGGAAGGAAGGAGAAAATACCTTATAAAGAGAATAACAAACTAAACATTTGCTGCTTGCGTTATTTTGTTTGATATTTACAGATCAAAACGTTAAAGCCTTAAAACTGGTTCCTGAGTCAACGGACCTTCTCACGTAAACTGTAGTGCAAAATTCCCTCGCCGAAAGTCAGTACATCAGCTGCAACCAAGTAGAATCATAGCGCATACACCGAAAAATAAATTGTTACGCATAACGATTTCGGTCCCTCATTACGAACCGTATGCGAATATCATCTTGCTTTATTAACACACTGAACAATGAACTGAATTTGTTTTCCTTTGTGTATAGGTTACTGTTTAGGCAAAATGCAGATAATGTGTCTATAAATAAACAAAAAGTAGTGACAGCAAACTGTAGAAAGGGCAAGTAAAAATATTTTTGTAATATCATTGATATGTTACCATAGAAAAGCTGCAAGATACCGGAAAAAAAAAATTATTATGGCAAAGAGAAGAAAACATTCCCTCTTACCGAAACCATGGGAAAACTTTATGAAGACGCAGGAAGAGGCCATAGTGACGCAAAAGCATTTCACTTAAGCTGAGGTGAACAGAGTGGTAGGCATCTTTAACGACAATGACAATGCTATGCACTACTTTAGAATCTTCTTAAAGAAAAAAAAAAAAAAAAAAACTAACCTTTTTCGGCAACTTCTTGAAAGCTGGACACCCCAAGATCCAAGACGTTTGCAAAAAGTAAATGGCAGCTGAATTATCCTTACCAGAGTAATACTGGAAACACTCAGACTAACAAAACTGACTACGACAGAGTGTACTTGAAATTTTTATAAAATAAATTAATTTTTATAAAATACTTTCATAATTGATAATTTAGTATATGTGTGTTTCTTTTACGGTATTTCGCGAGTTTGGATGAAATCGGGAACTGATCAATGCCATTCTCATAATGATCTAGAGTTCCCCACATCACAAAGGTCAGCTTGCAAATCATTGTTTTCTATGCAAGCTACCACTATATATATAAAAACATTTTCCTTAATTTTGGCCACGTATACTAACTACCATGAATGAATTACATAGAATGAATTACATTACATTTTGTTGCATAGGATAATGGGAAAGATTTACTTTATCAAAGTGTTCGGCTAAGAATTAAATTTTCAAAAAACGTTGTTCAACTGATCTTTTACTTCACTGCTCAAAATCATACAGCAAAGTAAACATTTGATCTAGTAAAGTGATGCGCTAAGCAAGATTATGATTTATTTTCTTAAGATATACTTAGCTTCTAAAATACGCTTTTTTTCTTATACTCTCTTTTGTTTGTGCATGTATGGACGTATGCAGAATATAGATATCTAAAACAAATGCAGAGTTGAAATAAAATACTTAATTATTGCTCTTTGATTATAATTCGCTTTAAAATGCGAACATTAATTTTCCTTTTTTGTGGAAAATTTAGAAATGCTTAATACAATAAACTGAGAAATGTAATTCTGTCTTGAAGAAGATAAATAAAATTAAGTAAAATCTTTAGAATTGAGCAGTTATAATAAATAGTTCCCTTTTTTGCAAAACGCAGTAAAATTATATTCTCATTTAGGCTTTTGCATTTAGAATAAGATCAAAGAAAGATAAGATCTTTAGAGAGCTTGCAAAAGTGGTTACCATTTTTGAAAGCTCTTCAAAATTCTGGAAGAAAACTTTTTTTTAACTTTTGCTGTTTTCTGATCCATAGCGAAATATTAAGAAATTCTGAAATTAGCGTATGTGTGCGGGATTATGAAATAAGGCGTTTTTCCCCTAGATTTCTTCCTTAATTGAATAAAATAAAAAA